TACAACATGTAGAGCTAAAGCTGCGAGCAAAGGAAATATGTACATTGCAATGTGTGTTAAAGTGCATGTTATAAGTAATAATGCTACTAATTTTAATAATACAAAACTACAAAACTATTCTCAATGTGCTAATATGCAGCCGGTTACAGGAGTGTGGCAAGATTCCTTATTTATGATGATCAAAGGGAAATTCCATCAATTTCCCAAAATTTCTGCATGTTCAGAGTGGTTTGGTGTGAAATGGTTCAGATGTCTTTACAGTGGTGGTGATAGGAACTAGGGGTCGCCATGACTACAACACAAATATAGACATTTTATTTACTATCCAGAACCACCAGTGAACCTACACGAGTCTTCTGAGTTTATATGGAATGTTGATGATGGGAAAATAGTGGAAAATCTGAAAATAATTCGTTTTTTGGGCGACTATCTTGCCTTATATTCTCTTACAAGCACCTTAAGATATTATAATTAATAAACGTGCATTATGTTAATATGTTAATGTTTACCTTTTAGTTTTTTAGAGTATTCAACATTACAGTATCTCAGCCCCTCTTCATAGGCTCATAACTCCGGATGTGAGTCTCGTATGATCTCGTGATAAGATGGAATGGAAAGGGCGACTCTACAGATTCAGGAAGTGTTTGAACTGGATTTCTGTGCTGGATCATCACAAAGATACAGACACAGATACAGAAACAGAGAGTACAGTATTTAAAATAAAAGCTGTGTGATAATACTAATACTCTGTCCACAAGCTAATGTCTGGACCCCAGCCTAACACTAGGGAGTGTGCAATATGATTATATTATATCTTTATGATGATAAATTATATCACAATGTGCTTTTCTCAGCGTATCGTGGATATCATCGGTACTTAAAGATCGCTGACCAACTGCATGTTTGATTAGAAAGAGAGCTGAATTAGTCCCGTATGATAGGATTTAGTGCAGAACAGTGTGTGAAACGTTGAATAAAAAGCATTCTGTTAATAGTTTTTATAGGATTTTTTCCAAAACAACATTACTGGCTCTTTTTTGTCTGCTCCAACTTCAAACTCAGAAAAAAATTTAATATTGTGGTACATATGGCAGTATCGTGATGTTTTTGCCATATCGGCCAGCCCTACCTAACACACCAGCGACAAGCTAATGTGCTCATTACGATACAGCAGTACAATGCGATACACTGCAATACAGTTCAATACCAGACCATAATTTGTAATGCTTTTGGCCAGAATCTTGTTGAGTGCATGTGTGTTTACATGCACTCAATAATCCGATCATAATTGGATTTCTGCAGTTATCTAATTATTCATGCGGTCATGTAAACACCATACTCCGATCTGGAAATCTGATTAAGAAATCCTATAAAGAGGCTGGATTTTATCTCAGTAATCAGATGTCTCAGTGCTGTAAACTCTTACTCTGATTTCTTTCAGATTTCTCAGTCTGAGCATGTGTGAAAACAGACTGCGGTACCGGAAATAAGCGAGCAGCGTCGACGCGAGACGCAGTAAAACACTTTTGGAGCGACGCTGAAACCAAATACATGCTTGACGAAGTGAAGGATTTAAATATTCTTCATCTTCTAGATGAAGTTTGTTCAGATTTTCAGGTTGCGATGTTTAAAAAAAGTTGCAACATGAAGTTTGCAACTGTCACGTCTTCTTCTGTGAGCGTCACGCATCCACGGTACTCCCTTGTGGATTCGGACTCTCCCATCCTCTGGGAGATCACATGACTTCCAAGCTTCTCGTAGGCAAGAACACTGAGACGGACTCAATATCCCAAGAACCTCTGAGGAATCACCTGACTTCTCACGTGACTCCGCGCTCCTATCAGCGCTCTAGATCTCCGGAGTATTGATGTGAATCACCTGTGTTAGTTGTCATATGACACAGTTAGTTTAGTATATAAGTCCGGGCTTTAGCTTAGTGAGGTTGTGAGGTGTTGTATCCACTATAGTGACCGTCTGAGCGTTTTTCTGTTGTTGTGTATTCCGTGTATGATTTTGCCTTTCCTTTTCTCGACTCTGCCCTTTTTGCTCTGCCCGTTGGATTTGTTTGCATTGATTCTGATCTTGGATTTTGACCAATTGCCTGCACCTTCGACCACGCTTCTGCCTTTCCCTTTTTGGATTGGATGCATTGTCTAATGTATGTGACATGTATTGACAACGACTTTGAACTTTGTTCCTATCAGTAAAGCCCTTTCTGTTACATCTGCGAGCGTCTGACTCTGCTTGAAACCTTACAGAGAGTTTATTGGCTGGTTGCAAAGCAGAAATCTGATTACTGTCTGACTCATGTAGACCTGGAGTTTCCCCATTATCTCATTATCTAAACGTGCTGATCGGATTACTGACAAAATCGGATTTTCTGCAGTTATCAGATTATTAAGTGCATGTACACGCACTCAACGTCTCAGACATCAGGCAGTGAATTCATAACCATTTCATGTAGGAACTTTCTGTGAGGGAGCTTTTAGAGGTGGACGTCTGGTTCCTATCACCACCACTGTGAACAGTTCTGACTCTAAGTTTCTCTAGAGCAGAGCGTTTCACACCAAACCACTCTGAATGACTCTGTTTACACCTTATTAACTGAATTTTGCAGAAGTTGTTTCATGGTGGATTAAATGTGAACGATTTCACATTTAGTTTTGCAGAAACTCAGGAACATTGATGGAATTCCCTTTTGTGATGTCACAAAAATATACATACTTGCACTAGGAATGTAGAATATATAAATTATTATGTTTTTTACTGGTTTTTGGTACATAAACCTACTCAGATGTCCTGTGTGGACGTTAAAGAAAATAATAAAATGACAGAAAAATCCTAAATGACATCTTATTAACTGAATTATGTGAAAAGTTTTGAAATATTGCTGGAGTTCCCCTTTAAACACCTCCTTTTTACAATGTACAGTCACATACAAAGGTCACAGAACATGTTTTGTTGACTTTGTAAGTGCAAATAAATTAATACCCTCTACAGAGAACACGCTTACTTTACATACTGGAGAAAAATCGAACATGCGATATAAAATGTGCCACAACTTTTTGCCATATTTTATGTTCTGCTTTTCCCCTGTAGATTAAATTCAGTAAATAAGCAGTAATTGTGCTTCAAAATATGCAAAAGGCAAATTAAGAAAACGTGTAATTTGATCGGGGCACCAAAATTTAGCAAGCGACTGTATGTTTTTGTTTTTTCTCAGTGAGTGAAGGGTTTGTTTCATGATGTGAAACTGCATAAAGAAACAGAATATTCGGATGCCAGATTTCTGAGTCGAGCCACTTTTCTTTCTGTAAACAATGGCATTGAAACTGCGTTTTGTTCTGAAAGAACATTCTCTAAGCAGAACCAGGGACTGAGCTGTGTTTGTTGTTTTGTGTTGACTGATTTGAAACCGCAGCCCGTCTGAGTGCGTTAGGGCTTGTGAGGATATTGAACTTTGATTTCCTTGTGGTTTCATAACCGCACCATGAGTAAACATGGCAAGTGCTTTTTAGCCTCCGCTGCATGACATCGCTTCATTAAACACAACAGCGACTGTTATCTGAGAGTCACGGCTGGACTATTATATTCTCTTATTATATTATTCCATAAGGAAGGATTTCAAGTCCACTGCTACCGTAACCTCGTACTTGCAGTAGAGTTCCTTTGGTGATGTTAGCTAGCTAGCGTTGTGCAGTCTAACATTGTAGAATCCAGTAAAGTGAATTGATTTAAATGTGTACATGTGAACATTTACACATGAATAAAATACAGTACTGTGCAAAAGTGCCTTTGTTTATTTAATTTCTAGTCCAAATGGCCATTCGGTGCGCGTTATTGGTTTCTCATCATCAAGAAAAGAGCAGAAAACAATTTTAGCATATTTAACATATTTATTTAATTACACAGAAGCATTAAAGACTAAATATCACATATAATATTAACATATTTATTTAATTACACAGAAGCTTTAATGGCTAAATATCACCTAAAATTTGAACATATTTACCATTTTTAAAAATATTTTTATTCGTTTATATTTTAATGATAATTCAGTTTAATATATATTGTACAGCTTTGGCAACATAGATCTCATATCCTGTCATGCCAATAAAGCATTTTTGATTTGACTTGGTTTGATTTGACAGGACGCTGGTCGCACGGCTCTTTGAAGTTCATTAAAATCTAAATTTTAAGGCAGACCGGTTACTTTTCTAAGTTGAACAAGCAGGTACTATTTGGGTGGTGGATCATTCTTAGCACTGCAGTAACACTGACGTGGTGGTGGTGTGTTAGTGTGTGTTGTGCTGGTACGAGTGGATCAGACACAGCAGTGCTGCTGGAGTTTTTAAACACCTCAGTGTCGCTGCTGGACTGAGAATAGTCCACCAACCAAAAATATCCAGCCAACAGCGTCCTGTGGGCAGCGTCCTGTGACCACTGATGAAGGACTAGAGGATGACCAACACAAACTGTGCAGCAGCAGATGAGCTATCGTCTCTGACTTTACATCTACAAGGTGGACTGACAAGGTAGGACTGTCTTATAGAGTGGACAGTGAGTGGACACAGTGTCTGATCCACTCGTACCAGCACAACACACACTAACACACCACCACCACGTCAGTGTTACTGCAGTGCTGAGAATGATCCACCACCCAAATAGTACCTGCTCTGTGTGGGTCCATGGGGGTCCTGACCACTGAAGAACAGGGTAAAAGGGGGCTAACAAAGTATCAGAGAAACAGATGGACTACAGTCTGTAACTGTAGAACTACAAAGTGCACCTATATAGTAAGTGGAGCTGATAAAGTGGACAATGAGTGTAGAAACAAGGAGGTGGTCATCATGTTATGCCTGATCAGTGTATTTTTATGTAAAGTTTCTTATATCTAAATGAATTTATTTTAATGGCCCTCTATGTTAACAGGTTATTGGTAATTAGAGTCGTTATCTCTGATGTAGAAACTCATTTTGACTCTGTTTTGTTCTCTTCAGCCGTCCTAAACGCCAAAAAATCCAGCCAACCAGCAAACAACAGCACTAAAGCGCAGATTCCGGAGTTGCCGGAGGGGGAACTGCTGTTGCAGGTGAGCTGATTGTATCTCTGCTGTGTCTAATTCTGGTTTATAGAACCCCACTAGTAAAGAAAAGATGAGGATAATAACTGCATGCATGGAAAATGTATATGCATTGATTATTCATGTTTTTAAATGCAGTGCTAACGTTAATAATCAGTTAAAAGAGCTCTATGAGCTTCATGGCCTCCATTCTTCTCGTAGGTCTTAAATGGGTTTGTGGTGGTGGTCACTGCTGGTGGTACAGTCTTCTACACCTCCTCTTCTGTTAAGGACTATCTGGGGTTCCATCAGGTTGGTCTCCAAAACGCTTTCAAAGCTCAGAACTGTGCATTCACTGAAGCACCGATACATCTGTTAGCTGGTAATATCGGCAGACATAACTACACAACAGCACAAAACATGGTTGATTAAAGAGCAGTAAGCCATGAGAGGCCGCGGCTGATTTTACCACGGGGTAGGGTGTTGTTAGGCACGACGCAAAGCGGCGTAAAACTCCCTTCCCTGTGATAAAATCACTGTAACGTTCGGCCACGAGTGGCTTATTGCTTTTATAAAACGGCAGCCAACATAAACCATGATAAAATACACAATTTTTCAGAAAATAATTTAGGCTAATATTAATAATAATCAACATAATCAAGTATTCCGCCAAGAAATGTAGTTCATTTAGTGTATAGACTCATTGCCAAGCACCATGGATCGCTGAATAAGGAGAACGTCCGGTCGCCCATCGCTGTACACTGTGGTCATTTCATGGTCTTTTTAACTTTGTGTCATATCACAACGAACATATGATAACGCAGCACTGTTTAATGCACAAACCTTTGCTTTAGAAGTACTTTTTGGTCACCAAATTACCACCGCCAGTCTTTTATAGCACCAATCCAGCGGTGCCCTCTTCACACAAGGGCTGAATCCCAAACAGTTCCCTGCTCCCTACATAGTGCACTACGTAGGAGTTTAAATACTGGAAGTACTGGAGCAAAATATAGCTGAGAAGCAGTCATTTGGGACTGAGATGATACTGATGTAGGAAGCATGCCAGTCCTGCATTTTAGCCACAGGTAAAGTGCGTTGTGAGAATTTTGCGGCTTGCTGCAGAAACATTGCACGGATGTTGGGAGGAACCTTTTGGCTGGGGAGGGCCCTTTGCTCTCCAGTGCCAGTCTCTGAGGCTGTAGGGGGTGTGGGGAAGGGGGGTGGCTGGAGGGGGATGGTGCCTGGGGGGTGCTGGGTGTTGAAGGGGGTTTATCGTTAGCTTGTGGTGGCTCTTCCTTCTCCTTGATGCCCTCCGTTGGAGGCTTGTCTTTTTTCTTCTCTCCACCACTGCAAAACAGCAATCCATCAACCAGGGACAGAGCAGGCCCTGGGACAGAAATGGTCAACACTCGGGACACATCCACACTCGATAAATTGTGCACTGTTTGGCTGTAGAGGCTAGAACTTCTAAACTTTCATAGCTAGAACACTATTTAGGAAGTACGGAGCCGTTTGGGATTCAGCCTGGGTTTGACACGACTTCTGACTGAGACACAGACATTTGAAGCGTGTGGGACATTCAAGTGATATTTTTAGACTTTTATTCTGCTGTTTTACAGTTAATCAAACCGCAAGTGCTTTAATTCAAGCCTGTGATATTAATGATGGAGCTGTTTAGGCTGTTAGCTACCTTTTAGCCTGTTAGCTAGCTGACCAGCCTAGTTCTAGTTAAGAAAATAAGTGGTCAGCTCCTCAGTTTAAACAAAAAACGGGTTCATCAGTAAACTGATTGGTCCAAACGAGCAGCATTAGAGTCAAAGAGTATTCCATTATAAGACAAGGATTTTTCGTGGCGCAGTGATACAGAGGTTGGTTGTTGTGAGGTGGTCATAGGTGTGTGTATATTGTGTGTATATCGGGGAATTACTGGGAACCAAAACCACGATCCGCCCCCAGTGATGCAATATTTTATTGGAGTTTAAGAAATGTGAATCTGAATTTTAGAACTCAAGCTGGACAATAACTTTCGCTAAAAACCATGTTGTGCTGAATTTTTTTAGAGAAATGTTGTGTTGAGTTTTGTACATTACTGGTAAGGGTGGGAATCTTTAGGCACCTCACGATTCGATTACGATTCAGAGGCTGCGATGCAATTATAAAACGATTATCGATGCATCTTTTTTCTCTGTACAGGATTTCTATCTTCCTACTGTCTGAGGACTTGGTAGTTTTAAAGCAAAGTATTTGTAATGATCCATAATGTAAATGCATTACGGATCATTACAAATACTTTGCTTTAATTATCTAAAATATCTTTTATTAATAAATCAAATGGAGGTGATGTGGCAAGTGAACTAGAAGGCTCTCATTCAGAGACGCTGCTGCCACTCATCTGCGATAAAATGCGCTGTTGCCCTGAAATAAGATCCAGTGGCAGTGGGTGTCCACGCAGCACGTTACAGCCACCCTTTTGGTCTCGTTGTAGAGAGTGGGGGGGTGTTTTCGAGACTGGATGCTGAATCTCAGCTCCAAAGTGTGCAGCATAGCGCGAAAGCCCGGGTTCTCAACGACTGAGAACAGACAGCAGACAGCAGGTCACACAGCCCCTGTCCGGGCGCTGCACTTACCCACTTCCAGTTCAGCCTTTTGCGTTCCGTCAACATTACGTTATAAATTAAATATTTAGAAAATCGATTTTTGACGTTGAATGAATCGATTCAGAATCGTTCACGTCTGCATCGCGATGCATCTAAGAATCAAGTTTTTCCCACACCCCTAATTACTGGTATATGAACAACATATTTTACATTAACACAGTTTTGTCTTTGAGTTTACTTACTTTTGCCCGTACTTGTGTTAATAAAATATATATTTATATGCATTTAGTGCAGGACTTTCTTCAGTGTGCTGTCAGTACTGTAGAGCACTGTTTGGCTCTAAGAATAACCCCAGTAGTTATGAAAGGCAGAATTGCTGAAGCCCTTATTTACAGTAGAGGGATTTTGACCCCTATCTAGAGTAGGCCTGCTTTATTGTGTGTGAAATTGCAGACATTTCCTACAAACAAGATTGCGGCGCTATTTCCTCACTGCAATCGGAAGTAGGGTTGTAAACAGATGTCAGTTTCAGCAACTTATTTGGGTGACCTGTTGAATAGACCCTGAACTGAAGGGTAACACAACGTTTTTGTAAATACATCTCTTTTTCTGTACTAACCATGAGTCACATGAATTCATTAGCACTATTTTACCGTGTTAGTGTTGCTTGGCTTGTTGTAATGAATGAAAATCTATGGGTGCACATGGGTACGTTCATAACTCAGGGTTATGAATTCAGTGTTATTTTAGCTAAAACTTACGATAATGTCATTTTACCACTAATGATGTAGCTATGAATTATTTTTATGATCGATTAACTTGTAGCTATGTTTGATCGATGGACTAATCGATCTATTCTGCCTCCTTTCCTTTGCTGCAGCCAACATTAAAAGTTTTGTCTGCACATCAAGCAATTTCTTCTTTTATGGTGCAACAAAGTCACTGAACTGTGCTCCAGGAGCAGTTAAAGCATTATAGAGCGGTTTTTAACTGAAACAGTAGAAGTCATATCGCCCCCTACACTTCCTGTAGTGTATTACAGTCTGTCAGAGTGACTGTGTGGATCATATGAACATTATAGAGGCTTTTTAAATGAAACAGTAGAAGCCATATCGCCCCCTACACTTCCTGTAGTGTATTACGGTCTGTCAGAGTGACTGTGTGGATCATATGAACATTGTAGAGGCTTTTTAAATGAAACAGTAGAAGCCATATCGCCCCCTACGCTTCCTGTAGTGTATTACGGTCTGTCAGAGTGACTGTGTGGATCATATGAACATTGTAGAGCGCTTTTTAACCAGAAAGCTGTCCCAACCCCACTGCCTCATCTAATGAGACAACATTAGACATAATTTTAAAATGCCAGCTGTGTTTTATATTGTATCTTAATTTTGTGATAAATGGACCAATAGAAATGCTCCAAAATGACTTGGAATAAATAATTTCTGCAATTTTCGAGACTTTGTTCTGACAGAAACAAGATACCTTTTTTGAAGTATTTTTGAGTATTTTGGAAGTATTTCACTAAGTATAGTGTTATAAAATAATCGTGATAAAAATAATTAAAAAACTACCTTTTTCATTTGTATATTGTTTTGTTTTTTGGGGTTTGCCTGCCAAAAGTATGGGCACCCCTATTATGTTAGTTAGTGATGCGTCAACGTAAAAAAATCCACATCAGTTTTTCATGATCAACTTAATTTACTTTGATCAACATAAATAAACAGCTGTGTTGATTAACTGCTATTTATTGCAGTGAAAGTGATTATTATTGGATTATTATTGGTTGCCTGAAAGGTATAATAACCGTGTGGTGTAAATGCTAATAGTGTACTTCACTACAAAGTTTACTCTTTTCTGAACAATTTAAGTTTTCAGAAAAGAAATGTTATGTTTATATGTAAATAAATATTATTTTCAGAATTTATGTACCGGTTTACTTAAGAATGAACACTTTTCTTAAATTAAAATCAGTTTCTAAACTCAAAATTAAGTACCTAATTTAAGGTGCTTTCCAAACAGTTTTTTACGTAAACTCAGTGTGTAACGTTTACAGCGTGTGAAAGCTTTATAAAGCACCCGGCTGGAGTTAATGTTACGAATACAGCTGTTCTCAGTGCAGTTTGTCTTTGTTTGCCTTTTGCAGTCTGATATCGTCCATCAGAGCGTGTATGAGCTCATTCACACGGAAGACCGCGCTGAGTTTTGCCGTCAGCTCCACTGGGCTCTCAAACCCTCAGAGTCCACAGACACCACTCAGCTAGTGAGAGGTAAAAGCCATTTTAATTTAATAAATGAGAATTTAACAATACATGTTGTATGATTCAGTACAAGACTTTGTGGTAATGTACTCTGTTTAATACTGATTGTATTGCATGAAGTATAATAAAGCAATAAGCTACAAGAGCTCATGCATTACTGCGATTTTACCACGGGGAAGAGTGTTGTTAGGCACGACAACAAGCGGAGTAAAACCCCCTTCCCTGTGATAAAATCACAGTAACGTACAGCCTTGAGTGGCTTATTGCTTTTATAAAATGGCTGCCAACATAAAATATGATAAAATACACAGTTAGAGTATAATTTGTTAAGAATATAAGTTATAATTAATAATAATCAATATAAACAAGTATTCCACCAAGAAATGTAGTTCCTTTAGAGTATGGTATTGTTGCCAAGCAACCATGGACCGCTGAATGAGGAGAAGAACGTTCGGTGTATAGTGAGGTCATTTCATGAACTTTTAAACTTTTTGTCGTATAAAGATTAACATATGATAACACTGTTTTTTGGTCACCAAATTACCTCCGCGAGTCTTATTTAGCACCAATCCAGCGGTGCCCTCTTCTCACGCTGGGCTGAGTCTCAAACGGCTCCCTGCTCCCTACATAGTGCACTACGTAGGAGTTTAAATACTGGATCCTGCAGCCCAACAGTGAATTATATTGCTAAATAATAGTCATTTGGGATTCAGACACATCCATGCTCAACAAATAGTGCACTGTTTTCCGTACAAGCTAGAATTTCAAAGCTTCCCTAGTGCACTATTTAGGGAGTAAGGAGCCGTTTGAGACTCAGCCTGGGTTTGACGCGACTTCTGACTGAAACACATTTAAAGCAAGACCTTTAGGTGACATTTTTAGTCTTTTATACTGCTGTTTTACAGTGAATCACATCGTAAGTTCTTTAATTCAAGCATGTAATATTAATGATGGAGTTGTTTAGCGTGTTAGCTATCTTTTAGCCTGTTAGCTAGCTGACCAGCCTAGTTCTAGTTAAGAAAATAAGTTGTCAGCTCCTCAGTTTAAACAAAAAAATGGCTCCATGCGAGCAGCATTAGAGTCAAAGATTATTCCATTAGGGATTTTTTGTGGTGCAGTGATTCAGTTGTGAGGTGGTCATAGGTGTGTGTATTTTGTGTATTTTACAATGTCTTCGAACGCGGCTCAGCCAATCAGATTTCAGAACCGGAACTATCCGTTTTATCATAAAGATTAAACAACCCACACCGAGAGCAGATCTTCCCTCCTCTGAAAATATCGCCTCTTCTTTACCTGAACCTCGAGAGCTGGGACGTGAAGCTCGTTCCTCGTAAGCGTACTTTAGCACATTTCTAGCACGTCATTATAAAATATTGTACTTTTAAGACTGTAGAATGATCTAATAAACTGAAAATAGAAACACTGACATTAACACGACACTCCTTATTTTTCCTGTGTCTAAAGGATCAAATTGTGGCACAACTGTATCGTATCGAACTTAATTTTGTGAATCATTACACCTCTAGTAATCAATTAATCTACCAGTTATTTTGATAATTATTGAAATTACAGTTTTTAAAAATGGCCAAATGCTAAACATTGACTTAAACTCAATATAGATAACCCATGCCCACACTTAGGCATTAGATCATTCCACACACCGATCAGGCATAACATGATGACCACCTCCTTGTTTCTACGCTCATTGTCCATTTTATCAGCTCCACTTACTATATAGGTGCACTTTGTAGTTCTACAGTTACAGACTGTAGTCCATCTGTTTCTCTGATACTCTGTTAGCCCCCTTTTACCCTGTTCTTCAGTGGTCAGGACCCCCATGGACCCTCACAGAGCAGGTACTATTTGGGTGGTGGATCATTCTCAGCACTGAAGTAACACTGACGTGGTGGTGGTGTGTTAGTGCGTGTTGCGCTGGTCTGAGTGGAGTTTTTAACCACTGTGTCCACAGTGTATATATATATATATATATATATCGCTGCTGTTGGAAGAAAACCTTGTATCTCCATTTTGGTCATTTTTCAGTTTTTGAGATAATTTGAAAATGCCTGTTGTCCTTTACATTGTGTGTAAATTTCATGATGAATGGCCCAAAAGAAACGGCTTACATTAAAAGTAAAGTATGTGTTTTCCTTCTTCTGTAAAGTTACCATTTTTAGATACAAGGTTTTCTTCAGACAACAGCGACATATATATATATACATATGTATATATATATGTGTATATATGTATATATATATATATATATATATATATATACATATATATATTATAGTCATGTTTCAGAAAATGCATGGTCAAAGATATATGTCCATCAGTCACTGTTGGTTGTTCTCATACACGGCAGCCATATTCATATAGCAAACCTGCTAAAAGATGCCTCACATGTTGAATTATATATATATTCCTACTTGTAGCCAGTTCCCAAAAGGGCCCCCTTCAAATGATGCATTCTGTGGTGCATTGTTTTCTGCAGGTACCCAAGATTCACGCTTGCCCCTCACATATTACAACCCCGGGCAGTTACCACCAGAGAACTCTGCTTTCCTGGAGCGAAATTTCATCTGCAGGTTAAGATGTCTCCTGGACAACTCGTCCGGCTTTCTGGTAAGATGGGAAAGACAGAAATGAAAAAGAAAAACAACGTAAGCTAAAACAATGTTGAAATACACCACCGATCGGCCGTTTAAACAGATGGAAATGCCAGTTTTTGTTCACTGCATCATCCTTTGTCTTTTTCCACGTAAGTTTCTAAACAAATAAGTTTCAGGGCATCTGCAGAGTTTCAGAGGAATGAGCCAGTCAGCATTTGATTTGAGTGTATTCATCAAAGATGGGAAGAGATAATTGGCCGTTAAAAAAAACGTCCAGACATTCTTGGCTACACTATTGAGTACACTGTTTCTTAGAGCTTTGAGGCTTATTGTGGTGTTGCTGCAGGCATGTATTCAGAGTTTTTGGTAATATTTTTTAAAATGGCACCACTTTGTCTGTTTTAACTAACCAGATGTCAGAAAAAAATTAAATATTGTGACACATTGTGTATCGTAAAAAACATCCTGAAGTATCACAATGTTACATTTTGCCAAATTGCCAACATACAATGGTCTAAAATTAGAAATGATATAATAGAAAGGGTCAAGAATTCCTTGGAATAAAGTCTCTTTACATTAACTTACATTGAAAGTTAAGAAGGCTTAGAAGTAGAGCTGCACAATATGGTAAAGATCTAATATTATGATGACACAACATGTCACAGTATTTATTTTTTTCAGACAGTATTTATTTTATCTGATCAGTTGGAACAGAGAAAAAACAGCCAGCAGTGCTACGTTTAAAAAAATACTATAAAAACTGAAAACAGTGATTTGGCACTAAATCCAGTTAAATGGGACTAATTTCACTCTCTTTATAATGAAACATGTAGTTGGTCAGTGTTTTACAAGTACTGACGATAAACACAATATGTTCAGAAAATCATATTGTACCGCGACCTAATTTATCAGGACAACGATGTATATTGCCATATTACCCATATTATAAAGTTTTTTATCTTGTAAAGATACTTTTTTTGGAGATACGACTTTGTATATTGCAGCGACTTTGTATGTGTATATACACTGTAAGAAATACAGGTGCTGTGCAGGTACATTTTTTGTCCGTCAAGGTACAAACAGTGTAAATGTTCCCTCAAAGCTCCAACAGTGGTTTTAAGGTCTGATTGTGAACCTTAAATAAGTTTTTCCAGGTGAAAAGTTCGTATTTGTACCTTTTCATAACCGAATGTTTTAAACAGAACAGTAAAATAAAAGCCTGGAGACGAGACGGGGTGTGTGGAGTCAGTACAGCTTAGAACATATCATTTCAGTGGATTATGGTTCAGTTATGTTCCCTGACTAAAGGTACTGAGATGGACCTTTGAGGGTCCCACCCTAGTGACAAGAGGGGCACTGACCCAGTGACAGTTTATATATAAATACATACAAACATACTTATATATATGTAAATATATATATGCACACACATAAATATAGCTGTTGTTGGACATTTTTCAGTTTTTGACATAATTTGAAAATGCCTGTTGCTCTTTACATTGTATGTAAATTTCATGATGAATAGACCAATGGAAACGGCCCAAAATCACTTCGGAAAAAAGTCTGATTCTATTGACTTACATTGAAAGTCAAGTATGTTGTTTCCTTCCTGTAAAGTTACCATATTGGAGATATGAGGTTTCCCTCTGACAACGGCGATATACATGTGTGTGTGTGTGTGTGTGTGTGTGTGTGTGTGTGTGTGTGTGTGTGTGTGTATGTACATATACAACCCCAATTCCAAAGAGGTTGGGACGCTGTGTAAAATGTAAATAAAGGTAAATAAGAACAAAATCGTTTGTCTCCATATTTCAGTGTAAAACAATTTCAGCCCCAAAAGTTCTAAATGAGTTAATGTTTTTCATGAAATGGTAAAATGTCTCACTTTCAACATCTGATATGTGTTCTGTGTTCTACTGTGAATAAAATATGGGTCTATGAGATTTACAAATCATTGCATTCTGTTTTTATTTACATTTTTATTTACGTTTTACACAGCGTCCCAACTTTTTTGGAATTGAGGTTGTACCTACTTGTACATACACTGTGCTGCCAGTTTCATTCACTGCTCAGAGATGAAATTTTGGTATTTTTAGTGGAAGCTGTTATTTCAATCAAACACCGTATCTTTTGCATTGCTAGCTCACGTGGCTGACACTGTCCCTGTCGGCTTTATCTGCAGGCCATGAACTTTCAGGGCCGTTTGAAACTCCTGCATGGACAGAACGAACGGACAGCGGACGGAAAACTCCTTCTACCTCAGCTGGCCCTGTTCGCTCTGGCCTGTCCACTCCAGCCACCTTCCATTCTGGAGATCTGCGCCAAGAACTACTTCTTCGAGACCAAACACAAGCTGGACTTCACACCGATCGCATGTGATGCCATGTGAGTGAGAATACGACAGTTCGACCAGTCTTAATGACTGGCTTTCCTGTGGTGATGCTCTGGGGTGGTGCACTGGCTGGTGTACCAAACAAACTGGCGGCTCAGTATGTTTCTCTCTGTTTCTCTTCATGCAGAGGGAAGATTGTGCTGGGCTACACCGAGCAGGAGCTGTGCTACCGCGGCTCAGGTTACCAGTTCATTCACGCAGCCGACATGCTGTACTGCGCCGAGAACCACATTCGCAGTAAGCTTTTTCACTCCTCATACAGCTCAGTCGCAGGAAATTCAGCCTGTTTCACGCTAACCATAACCCTTTGAAAGACTAGGGTTAGGGTTAGGGTTAGAGTCTGACACCCTCTCACATCTAAAGACAGTGTTACAGTTTTTAGTCACAGTGTGTGATTTTGCAAAGACTAGGAATCTTGCAGGGTCACTATTTGCCCAACTGCAACTAGATTTTTGAGATAATTGTACCTGGCGGAAATTTACAATTATAAACACTTTTCCTTCCACTCTATAGTGGGACAGATGGGAAGATACATTGGCTGAGCATATAAAGATCTGGGGCTCAGCCTAGTTCACTGTAGAGCTGTATACTCTGGCAGATCATCATCTAGAATCTTTTTAATTAACGTGTAAAATGTGCAGTTACTTTTTATTTAACATGACTATTTACAGGCTCCAGAGTGGCGCAACCGTCTAAGCGTTGTCCCTCATCAGGAGATCGCGAGTTCGATCCCTGGTGATGCTACAGCCGTCCGTAGCCGGGAGTCCGAGAGAGCACAATTGGCCTTGCTCTCTCTGGGTGGGTGGGATGGCCCCTCCTTCTCCCCCCATCACTCAGCGCGATGCTAGTCAGCGCAGGCGTCTGTTAGCTGACGTAACAGATCTGCGCGTTCGGCTGTCCAGTGACGTTGCGTGAGCGACAGCTTGAAAAGAAGCGGTGGTGCTTCACAGGTCTCGGAGGAAGCCTGTGTTAGCCTTCACCCTCCTAGCGTTGATAGCATCGTGTGATTGGGGGAGTCCTAACTAGCGGGTGGAATTGGAGACGACTAAATTGGGGAGAAAATCGGGTAAAAAAAAAAAAAAACACATCAACACAACGTGCAGTGATTCAGCACTGTTGATTGGGAGTTATGAACTAAACCATAAAAACAAATAAAATAAGAAACCACTGTAACAGACACCAAAAAAAAGGAAAAAAAAACATTGATGCTTCTTCAGTAATGCCGTTCTTAAAGTCCTCTGCAGATTCCCTTACATCACTGTTACACTCAGTGGACCTGAAGTATTAAAACAGCCAGTTTACATTGAAAGTTTATATGATGATTGTATTAAAGTGGAGCAGATTTCAGGCTCTCATGCAGGCATTTTCTCCCTTGCTCTGTCTCTCTCTCTGCGCTCGCCTGCTCGCTCTCTCCTGTGCGCCCCTGGCACGTCGCTATTTGCATGAGCCAAGACTTAAAACTTACAATAATATTAAACACAGTTGATTTTGTCGTTGCAGTTAAGACGGCCGTCCTGACCACCTCACAGTAAATGATTGTCGGGACCAAAGGCTGTCCCCTTCAACCCCAGGCCTCCAACATAATAACAACATTATGACTGAAAAGAAATCTTTAATGCTGGGGTAATCTGGGGTAGTTTGATATCCCCCCGCCTTACTTCTCAAATTGTGATATTAGCTCATTCTCTAATAGGTGCATCTCTTCTTCCATCAATTTGGCCATCGCATGATGAGCTCACTCCTCAAAACTGGTTTCAACCGGTTTTTACCAGTCTGCTCTACCTTTTAAGGTCAACCTGCCCCTCTCTTCACTGGGTCAGTAGGTAAACGCTGGCCTGTCTGTGAACCCAGGGGCTTTCCGGTGTCTAGAATCTCCTATGCAGACAGACTAAGGCCGACCCTTTCTGAGAGAATTCATATTCTCTGTTAGCCAATACTACCTATTCAGTTACTGATTACAATATCTAATCTGTTTGATTACTGATTAAGGGAATATTTATTCAAAATCTCTGTCACGATCAAGACGACGCGAGTGCGATGCAACTCTAGCAAGACTCTCATGATTTTATTGCGACATTGGAAATTTGTCTGCAACAGTGAAATGGCTTGAAAAGTCGGCATTAGTTAACGCATTAATAATAAGAAGTTCCACAGCTGGACTGGTGAAGCTTATTTTGTCCACTTATGTAGTTTTTACAAAACTCACTGCTTTTTACATGGAAACAATCTTTCCTTAGGGTCAAATTTGAGTAAATAAGGCAAATATTCACAGTTAATCCCTTTCACTTAAACTTAAATATGGCATTTTTGTGCGAATTGTAGTGCAAATTCTATTCGTTTCAAAGTTCTGTTTATTTATTCAGGTTTAACATGAAACAACTAAACAACTAAAATAAATCAAATAAAATGTTAAACTTCTGCATAAGTCACAAATGTTTTGTTTGTCCCCCCCCCCAAAAAAAAATATTAAATTGAGCAAATAAACAGTAACAGTGCAATAAAATATGCAGAAGTGTGTTCTCTGTAGAGGTTTGTTAACTTATTAACACTTAAATTTGACCAGGGGTGCCCAAACATTTGCGTTCGACTGTTTGTAAGAAGGCATTAAAATATTTAAAGAATATTAAACATAAGAATAAACATCAAGTTATCTGTTAATTACAAGTTAATTGTTACAAACTTTGACTCTTTTTCCTCCTCTGCAGTGATGAAGACCGGTGAGAGTGGGCTGACCGTATTTAGGCTGCTTACCAAACTCGGCGGCTGGGTTTGGGTCCAGTCTAACGCCAGAATCATCTTCAAAAATGGACGCCCCGAATTCATCATCGCCTCACAGAGAGTGCTCACGTAGGTTTACGTTTGTCTCCATATGTACGTGTAAAACTATTTCAGCCCTGAAGCTCTACTCAGGCGTGAATAATTTTATGCGGTAATGAAATTCTCACCAAAACATCTCTGACAGTCTGGAGTGCTTGGTTTAGGGCTGAAAGAGAAAAAAGGCTGAAATTTTGTCCAAAAAACCCCAAAGGTTTAAACAGGTCTACAATGAAGTGTCCAAATCTAGTACACACACACACACATCTTCTAAGCTGCTCATCCTTCTGGGTTGCGGGAGCCTATCCCAGCAGTCATTGGGTGGAAGGCAGGATACACCCTGGACAGGCCACCAATCCATCGCAGGGCAGACACACAGAGATATACATTCACACACACCTAGGGGCAATTCAGCATGTCCGATTGGCCTGACCGCATGTGTTTGGACTGTGGGAGGAAACCGGAGAACCCAGAGGAAACCCACACAGACACGGGGGGAACAGGCAAACTCCACACAGAAAGGACCCTGGTCGCCCGGCCGGGGAATCGAACCCAGGCCCTCTTTGCTGTGGGGCAACAGCAGCAATAAAAGAGTATTTCTTTATAACTTAATAGTTTTATCTGTAGTACATTTATTAAGAGCATAAATAAAACAAAAAATGTAAGAAAATGTTTTTTGCCAGGAATTTTGGTGTTAATTGTAGTAATTTTATTATGCAGAAATGTTACAAATAATTATCTAATTTAATCATATCTACAATAATTTATTAATCTTTATTTTGTCTTTATAATGTATTTTGTTGTATTTATCCTATATTTCGTTCTAAGTTTATGGGTACCTGACCAGCTGTAGCAGATGGAAATAAGCGTTTTTTGTGCTAACGTAATAAACTAAACTATCATGCTCTTGTTCTTATTGTTGTCATTCCTCTTGTTCCTATTCTGTCTTTATATTATATTTTGATGTTTATCTTTGATGTATTTCATTCCAAGTTTATGTGTACCTGACCAGGTACAGCTGATAGAAATTAGCTAGTAGCAAATTTAGCTGGCATTTTTTTTTGCTTTTGAGATTCATGATAAACTAAACGTAATAAACTGAACTATTATGCTCCTGCAGAGAGGAAGAAGGAGAAGAGAACCTGAAGAAGCGTAGCCTTATGCTCCCCTTCAGTTTCACCACAGGAGAGGCTATGCTGTACGACTGCAGCCTCCCCAAGTCCCTCAGCGGTTTCTCGGGCTCTGACTCCAGCGTCCCGGTAGACAGTACCCAGCCCAGTCCCGCTAGCGAACTGGATCCCAACTCTCTCCTGGGCTCCATGCTGAAGCAAGATAAGTCTATCTATGTGTGCGCTGCAGGTCTGAATGAGGCACAGGGATGTTCTCAGGAGCCTGACGAGGAGGAGTTTGGTGGGATCTTCTCCAGCAACTTGCAGGAGAGTGTTCTTTCGCTTTCGGAGAACTCTCTCTTTAAACAAGACCCTGCCTTCGGCTGTGGAGGTGAGGAGGGTGGCAGGGAGCTGCTCAGCTTTATGGGCAGTTTGGGGATCAGCCCAGACGACCTGCAGCTCCTGCAGCAGGACCAGCTTTTCCTTAGCGGCGAGTTCGATGGCGATTGCGCGCTCGAAGACCTCACGGATGAAGTTCTGTCCTATGTGCAGGAGTCCCTGAGGAAGAACGCGGACGTTCAGGCCAATCTGGAGGAGAATCATCTCCTCGGTAGTGTTCCACAGACAGAAGATCCGTCTTTGTTCCCTTCGCAGGGTCATTCCCAAGAGCCTTTTGCCCTCAGTCCAGCCAGTTACTTGTCACAGTTTCAGCAGCAGCCTTTCTTCAGACCTTCAGAACCAAAGATATATATGCAGTCTTATTTACAGCCACCTATGCAAGAGCACCAGCAGAATCCTCAGGGGTATCTTTATCAGCCATGTGCAGACCTTTTCCAGGGGCAGAAGCTCCAGCCTCCAGCCCTGCAGCCTGACCTTTCCCTGAATCCACAGCAGCGCTTAACTTATCCAGTGAACCACAGCTGTATACAGAGCCCTGAGCAGATGTGTCATAGACTGAAGCACATCCAGGGGAACAGCAGTGGCTTGGTTTCTGCTCCAAACAGTGGACCCAGTGTCCAGCAATTACCGCCCGGACAATTTTATTTAGAAACATCCCCTCTGGGCTTGGAGCCCTGTAGAAACCAACTGACCACTCACTGCAGCCAGGAGTTTCCCTGCTCATACATTTCTACAGGGGACTCAAGAGTGGACGAATTCAGCACTCAGGATTTGGAGGACCTGCTAAACAGCCTGGATGAAGTGGGCCAGCAGAAGCATGGACAGTCTGGAGAGGTCCAGAGAGAAGGTAATCCTCCATATGCACAGTATATATACACTTACAGCTTCCATTTATAGGCCAGGTTAGATACTAACACAGCCAACACAGCGGTAACTAATGTATCGCTGCTGTTGGAACAAAACCTTGTATATCCAAAAAGGTAACTTTACAGGTCAAGGAATTTTTAATGGAAGAAAATGGATAAATAATTAATAATAGTAATAATAAAGTAATTTTGACCATTTCTGTTCATCTGTTCATCATGAAATTTTAAAGGGCAATTTTTAAATTATGTCAAAAAATGAAAAACAATGAAATTGTCCCACCAGCAACGACATAGTTATATTTCCAAGTATTAGGTATAAGCTCATATATAATCTCTCCTAATTTTTTTCTAAATTCCTTTTTATTTTTTCCAATTTTTGGATTTTTTTTGTTTGTTTTAACTCAGATTTTTACTGTGTGTACAAAACAATAACATCAACCGAGTAATGGCATTATTTTTATTGAAAGTGCTGTAATAACACTCACTAACAGCACGAAAGTTCAACTGTAATAAATGAATGGATTCATTTATAACTCGCATAGAAATGTATACCATGCTGTAATTAAAATTTATCATTGTTTATATATATATATATATATATATAAAACTTTGTATGTGTATTTTTTTTAAATAAAACCATTTTAGATAAGCAAAAGCAAAGTTTTTAGGTTAACAGTGGCTTATTATTCTGGGATGTCCTTCACGTTTTAATAAGAAACATTTTCATCCACCAAAGTAAATCTGAAATATCTTTATTGTGCCAAGTAGTTAAAACAAAACTAGACAATATATAAATAAACCTGACAGAGTTGCTTGCGGGCCTCGTAAATACGGTGCTAAATGTTGGCTGAAGTTGGCCTCCAGCTTTTTGTTCAGACGTTCTGTTCCACCTTAAACGGAGCAGCAGTTCCATTCTGGCAGCTGTATGAGCTCCTGAATGTAATGGCTGCATCATTTAAGGTGGAATTGAAATTTTGAATGAGAAGTCAACTTTAGCTATGTCTCATATGTGCGTCCTATATACTCACCCCTCCCAGTACCAGCTGCTCTGTGGCAGTATGAGAAGAAGAATCGCTCTGGTGTCCCTGTTTAGCTAAGGCTAACCCTTTAGTAGTCCTTTATGTGGGCTACTTCTGATAACCCTTATATGATCAAACCCTTCCTTTAACTATTACCGCAGCAGAAGTTGTGCTTTGAATCTGTGTGAGATATTAAATTATAATTATATATTCAAATTACGGCGCACTATACGATTCTGGAAAACATTGTTGATAATTTAACAGCAAAACAAATACACCCCTCCCTTCTGTGCTATTTCAGAAGCTCCGCCCCCCAAATTCATGGACGCTCATTGCTGAGGCCAACACGCTTTTTCAGATCTTTGTGGCCATAAAACCCTTCGCAAACGCTGTACAGACAAATACCATGATTGAACGTTAGAGCGACCAACGACACCACAAGGAATGTAGCTAATGTCAGCTCGGCTGTGAGTTAGTGAACCAGTCGCTATCACAAACATTCACAAACAAGACAGAACAATACTGACCGACTGATTCTGTGAAACAGCAAAAATAAGTTAATGTTGCCCATCTAAGACTACATTCAGGCTTCACACGCGGCTTCTTGATCAAATTATGCCGTTCCACCTTAAAAGGTGCAGCAGTTAAGACTACATTCAGGCGCCTCAGCTTCTTGTTTGAATTTTCCCATTCCACCTTAAGTGGTGCACACACAGTGCTGTCTAAGATGGCAAAACAAAACGTGGGGAGGGCGACGTTTTCACAGGGTGAGACTAACATACATGTGCGGCCATCTCGGCTATGAAAACAAAAACATAGAAGCTCAGATTACACACAGACAGAGGGGGCGTGGCTTCATTCACTGTCACTCCATTATATCTTTACATAGAAAACAGTTGTTTGCTGCTATATTAATAATTAAAATGTCAGATATAGACCCTTTAACTGACCATAACCCTGACTGGTGAGGAAATACTTGATGTCAGCTGCTAACAAGGTCCCTCCCAGCTCAAATCCAACAGAGCAAATACAAAAGTGCTATAATCTCTTAATCGAAATGACCAACCTTAGTGTCCTCTTACTGATTTCAGAATGGTGCCCGTGGAAACCTGCAGGAGAACTGTGAAGAGAACAGCCGTGCACTGACCGGTCCCTGGGAGGAAACGTGAACATCCAGCTACACGCTGGAGAGAGCTGAGCTGGCCACTGTGATGTTTGGGTGCGAAGCATGATCGGGAAAGCAGGAAGAAATCCTAAGACCGAAATGCATCAGCCTGAGAGAGAAAGAGAGAGAGAGGAGTGGGAAGTGGGGGAGGCGATTCTGTTCACATTATCAAGAAAATCTGCCTCTGCAGATTATGTATTCAGGCTCCGCCCACAAATGTGTTCTTTCATAGCTATTGTTGCTTTAGCTTTACAGAGCGCTGGTAAAAATCCCATTCAAAATAATGAGAAACTGTAGAACAGACTCAGTTTATATCACAATACCTACATTTAGAACCAATTACTACTCTAAATTTAGGTATTGTGATTTAAGCTGAGTCTGTTCTACAGTTTCTCATTAGGCTGAATGAATAACCGACTCTAAATGTAGGTATTGTGATATAAACTGAGTCTGTTCTACAGTTTCTCATTAGGCTGAATGAATAACCGACTCTAAATGTAGGTATTGTGATATAAACCGAGTCTGTTCTACAGTTTCTCATTAGGCTGAATGAATAACTGACTCTAAATGTAGGTATTGTGATATAAACTGAGTCTGTTCTACAGTTTCTCATTAGGTTGAATGAATAACCGACTCTAAATGTAGGTATTGTGATATAAACTGAGTCTGTTCTACAGTTTCTCGTTAGGCTGAATGAATAACTGACTCTAAATGTAGGTATTGTGATATAAACTGAGTCTGTTCTACAGTTTCTCATTAGACTGAATGGGATTTTTACCAGCATTCTGTAAAGCTTGTCCAACAGAAGCTATGAAAGGTGTTTGTGGGCGGAGCCTTCAGAGGATATTTGATGTATGGAGCGCAGTGCACGCCAACAGAAAATGAAAAGTGATTGAACTTTAAACCCGCTGACATCAAAGCGCACAGTCTGTAACTGTAGCACATTTTTGTGCATTATTTTGTGATTTAAAAGATGGAGAACTGGACAACAGCCAGTTAAACACATGATGAAGGCGTCTGCATGGTGACATATTTCGTCTGTTTTTTGGCTGTGAGATTGCTTAAAAAGATGGTTCTTCAAGGGTTCTTTAGTAAAGAAAATGGCTCTATATAGAACCATGAACACTGAAAGAACCCCATGCATGATTAAAGGGTTCTTTGCATCATGAAAGCCTTCTTCACAATGAAGGAGAATGTGTTGTATATGGTTCTATATAGCACCCAGAAGCGTTCTTCTACTGATACAAGCTTGACATCGTGACAATAGCAGAACACTTTTGGGTGCTATATAGATCAATTGTATGATTAAAGGGTTCTTCAGATTGATGAAAAAAGTGCATGAATGTGCTATAGATGGTTCCATACACAACCTTTTCGAAAAGGGTTCTATATAGCACCCAAAAGGGTTCTTCTAGTTACAAGCTTAACACCGTAACAATAGAAGAACTCTCTTGGGTGCTGTATGGAACCATTTTCAAAAAGGTTCTATATAGAACCATCTACAGCACATTCTCCATCAATGTGAAGAACGATTTCATGATGCAGATCATGCAAAGGGTTTTTTGAGTTTTCGTGGTTCTGTATAGAACCGTTTTCTTTACCAAAGAACCGCTGAAGAACCATCTTTTTTAAGAGTGTAGGTAACGTTAGCCTTATATGCTGAAGTAGCCATAAATGGGGTGTTTTCATGTTTGGTGTTGGGTTACATTCAGCAGTGATTTATGCATAAATTTTATAAAATGTGCTTATTTTGCCAAAACTTAGTCTACGTTCACACAGCAGGTAAAAGTGGCCCAAATCTGATTTTCTCACCAAATCTGATTTTTTTGTTTGTCTGTTCAGATTATCTCTTAAATGTGATCTGAATGCGACATCAGTCTGAACAGATCAGCTCCTAAACTGAGCTGCATGCGCTAAAGATCAGAGCGTCACGCTGCTTCACGGCTCATCCAGAGGTAAACAATCACGACCGCCAACGAACGCCAGTCGCTCCCGGAGGATCAGCTTCATCTTCACCAGCATCACAGGAGCCATCATGAAGCTTCACTGACTGACAGCTGGGCTCATCACCCAGAATGTGTTTGAGTCGTAAAAAGGGCGCGGTCACTTCTTTGGTTCGCGTCCTCGGATTCTTTAAACTTCGCTTTCAGACTTTTAACTGTTCTTTGACGCTGCAGCCTCGTTCTCCTGCGGCCGCGTTCAGACATTTCTTTAGAAATCTCTTCAAACACGGAGGGTTCTGGATAAATCTCTTAATTTTAGTAGAGAAACATCAGACCAAATGTTTCTGAGTCTCAGCAGCGCGAAATTATGACGAATGTCGAGTTGGATTGAAGTAAAAGTTGTATGCAATTCCAATCTCACCGTTCAGACTGAGTCACACTGCTGCTTATCGGATACGTCTCGGATTTCAGTACCACATATGAAAGCGTCTCTAATCGGAATTAATAATGTCAGATTCAGCGTGTTTATCTGTTCACACAGACGCACATCTGTGTCACATACGGACAAAAAGATACGATTTGAGCCACTTTTAACTGCCGTGTGAACGAAGCCTAAGAACCTCCAAAATTTGGGGACTTAATGGGGTTTATTTTCAGTAAATAAGTGTAAACACAGAGGAACTGAATAATTAGCGCCATCTAGAGGGTTGGCAAAGTATCAACCTTTCACTGTACAACGCACAAGAATCTTGATTTTTCTCAATAATGTGAATTCTCTTAAGTTTAGATGGAGGGTCTGATCATGGATAGATGAGAGCAGAACCAGAAGAGGGATCCAGCTAAACAGAGGCACTGAACAGTAAACTGGAGCGAATATGAATGAACGATTATGTGAAATATTATCCTGTCAATCAGATTAGCTGCTGTCGTTCACTCAGATTCTTCAGATGAGTGAATGGAAAGTTTGGAGCCGCTGATTTTAACTCGTATCATATCACAATAATGTCCCCTCTCCAAAATAACTATGTATACACACTTCTGTATACAAAAGGGCTCTTTGAGTGTTCATGTTTCTATACAGGAACATTTTCTTTACCAAGGACCCTTAAAGAACCATCATTTTTAAGAGTACATGTACACAGTACTGGGCAAAAGTCAGACTGTCCATCATTCGTTTAATTTCCAGTCAAAACGGCTGAAGTACAAGATATAAAAAACATTGAACAGAAGCCTCAACAGCTAAATCTACTCCCAGCTGTGTGAGTCTCACTGAGTCTCTCTTCACCTTTATTCCAGCCTCCATTCTTTTCAGGAGACTCACTTTCAGCTCCTCAAAGAATCTGCAGGCACGCCTCCAAAGTTCAGTCTTAGAAGCTGGTTGATGATTTTCTGAAGTAATCAAACACATTCAGTGGTGTTGAGGTCTGGACTCTGGGGTGGTCAGTCCATCGTTCAGCTTCTTTGTTTGATGTGTCCGTCTCCTTTTCTCAGTGAGGTTCTTCTTGACAGCTACACATCCTTTCAGACCCACAGCGCTGAGTCGTCTTCTCACAGTGGAAGGATGGACAGAAACACCTGTGGATGTTTTCAGATCTGAAGCAGCTTGATTTTCTCCTCTCTCTCAGAGATGAAAGCTTTAAGTGCTGTTTATCTGATGGGGCAGTTTTGGGGTCGACCAGCTCTTCCAGGTGGTTGTTAGGAGACTAATTTTCTCTGTAAGTGGGAAAGTGGATCATGAGAATGACCCACCACCCAAATAGTACCTGCTCTGTGAGGGTCCATGGGGGTCCTGACCACTGAAGAACAGGGTAAAAGGGGTCTAACAAAGTATCAGAGAAACAGATGGACTACAGTCTGTAACTGTAGAACTACAAAGTGCACCTATATAGTAAGTGGAGCTGATAAAATGGACAATGAGCGTAGAAACAAGGAGGTGGACATAATGTTATGCCTGATCGGTGTGTATATATATATATACACACACTTTTGCAGTACAGAAAAGCCAAAAGCACATACATTTTGCAGCGTTAATGCCAAATAACCATTTTATTATGGAATTATGGACAACATTAATATTTCTGAAGTGGGACATGATCGAATGATAATAACATTTAGCAACATTTAGAGACTCATTTCTTCATTTCAATATCTTGTAAAGATTTGAGGCCAAATATTTTACACGTGTACACTGTGATATTTTTACAGTAAGCAGCTGACGATCACATTTCTACAGTATTTTTCATACTTTTTTCAGCTTTTTTGTAATTGTGTGCTGTTATTCAGAAAGTGCTTTCCAACAGGAATATTGGAAATCGTTTTAAAATGAAAGTTGATTATCAATATTTCCTGAGTACATTAAAATACAGTCAGATGAGGTTTTTGGTGATATTTTTAAGTGAACGTTAGTGAACACATCCTCTGCAGTGAACACACTTCGGCACATTTTAGTGCACATTTACTGTCCATTTGCTGAGCGTAACACAATAAGGCATAACAGTGGCCTGTGCAAAAGTTAAGGCACCTTTAATATTACGTTTTTTTATACATTTTTTTTCTCCCCTATGTTAAATTTAGCAAATAGAAATTGAATAGAATATACTTGTTGACTATATATGCTATTTATGATATAGTCATTAACTGTATATATGATATGTACACTCATTGACTATATATGATATATATATTATTTATACATTCTGACTATATTTTCTGAACGTAACACAAAGCATAAAATGTGGCCTGTGCAAAAGTAATGGCACATTTAATATTTTTGTTTTTTCCCACAATGTTACGTTTAGCAAATAGATAGAAATTGCGCATTTTTATGACTGTTAATGCTATATAGACATTCATTGACTGTATATATGATATATATTATATATACACTTGTTGACTCTATATGCTATTTATGATATACAGTCATTAACTATATATGGTATATAATACATACAGTCTGACTGTATATATGATATGATATATACACTCATTGACTATATGATATATATTATATATACCCTCTGACTGTATTTGCTGAGCATAACACAATAAAGCATAAAATGTGGCCTGTGCAAAAGTAATGGCACATTCGCGTTTGTACATTTTTTTTTTTCTCCCATCGTTAAACTTAGCAAATACACGGAAATTGTGCACTAAGATTAGCAGAGAAATGTGATTTGGATGACCTATTTATTATTTACATTTAGAAAATCAGCAAAAACAGGACATTTCGATCAAACCTTTGTAGGTAGCTTGGTAATGTGAAAATCTAAAATTCCTCCAGAATTGATTCAGTTCCTATAGGGAGTCTGTGTGTGCACATTTCTGATTTTCTCCTTTTTATGTACAGTAATTTAACTCTTTCTGATCTGCTGCACTTTGGATAAAACTGTTGATCTGATATGTAGCTCTTCTCTAAAGGCAGCAGGAGTAGAGGAAGCATAACAGCACATGGACGTCTAATAACGTATACAGTTAGAGAAGTGTTCTTTAACCAAAATCAGTTTATGGCAGTCTTTTTAGAAAAA